AACATGCTTTATTCCAAAAATGTAATTTTAATGTTACAGTAAATAGAACAAGCAGCAGAATAAAATGTATAGGTTTGCCCCACAGTACTTGTGATCTTGGTACTTGTGTTCAAAATATTACTGATCAAACCTGAAAAAATTAAATTTTTTTCAAATGTTTAATTTTATTTGCTTTTTAAGGGGAAAAAAAATTAAAGAATTCTCAGAGGACATTGGGATCAAAAGAAATCCCTGTTTGTCCACCAAAAAACTATATATTTATCAGTTCTGTATCATAAGTAGTTACAAAGTTATAGACTCATAAACAGACACATAGCGGAAATATGAAAATATGGACTGGTCCATAGGGGGGTAAACAGGTATGAGAGCCGAATTGTGTCTGTTTTTGTCCCTCAGAGATAGTCTTAATAACATTCTGCTAAAAAGTTGTGCCTTAGTACTGCTTGTACCTTGAAGAAAGCTTGTCCTAAAAATTTGGATGTTCGTGATCCTTTTTTTTTTTTGCAACAAGTGCACTGATACGGCTACAATCAACTCAAGTACATATAAACAGAAATCAGAGCCATTCTGGAGGTTTGTGTCATGTTCAAGGGCATCAACACAAAACAGCCAAGTACAGTCCTGGGAGACAGGATCCTGTTGGTTTTTCATTCCCATAGCTATTGCTGCAATTTCTGTTGGTCAAACTGCAGCTATTTGGACTAGTTGAAGGGCTGGGCCTGCAAGAGTAAAATAGCCTTTAAAACTCCACGTTTATATTAGTAATATGATCCTCCTGCGCTTCTAAGTGAATAATATAACTAATATTGAAAAGCTGCTAACACCCAACCCTATACCTATGGGTGATAAAGATGCCAAAATATAAATCAAATGGTGTAGTGCTAATACATTTAAATATTGATACTATAATAATAATAATATCAAGCTATAATAATGCAATAATAATAAATGTGTGACTGAATACATACACTGTGACAAAAACAAAGTGATCTGATCCTCTCTGGGATCTAAAGTGAAACACCTTTAAGTGATACAGAAAACGTGGAACAAAGTGGTCCAAATTGGACCCAATATTGTGGAAAAAACAATAAAAACTCAAATCCCTAATTGGGACCAATAAAAAATGGCTAAAAGTAGCCAAATGAAAAACTACCAAGTGGCACATAAGTGAATCCATTCAAAGGGATATAACGCCTATAAAGTTATACGTGCTGGGTGATGACATCAAAACCCTCAAATGAGTATTGAGTATGAATATTGCAAAACACAATCCTCACCTTTCCATACAAAACATTATATTCAACTAAAGAACAATATAAAATGAATTAAAGAAAATATTGTATAGTGAAATATACATATATAAATGAATATAAAAAAAATAATATTAAAAAAGTCCAAAGGTGCAAATACACCAGGTGATCCAATAACTTTAGAACCGAGCAGGTGATACGGTGGATGTGCGTTAGAGCCAATGGTAATTAATCCTTAAATGGCTGAATTGCCCCCTCACCTCCTTACCGCGATCCAATGGGCCAACACACTTGTAGGATCACAAAAGGATCCTCCACGGTCAGATTACCCTCTGTGGATGGTATCCTTCCAAACCGTAGAAATCCCCTTCAAAAGGTATGCGTTTAACATCACAGATTCCCCTCCAGAGATATGTGAACGTAATACAGCCAACTCCTTGCTGCAATGATGTTTCTGATTCCTTTCACATGTGGGTTTGTCTGTGCTCAAAATCTCCTGCGCATGAGTGTGGAGTACCAGGAACTGCTCTCCTATATATGTGTGTGTACATATGTTTTATCAATGGACCAACGGATAAAGTCAAGTCTTGTTGCTCTCACAAATGACTGGTGAAATCAGTGTATCAACTGTAAAGAGCCAAACAGAGCACACCAGTCTAGTACACGATCAAAAGATACATTTATTTAAAAAAAAAAATGGTAAAATCATACTCTCAATGTGTGAAATTGAATCTCGCCTTGGCACTTGATGCAGGTGTCCATTGGATGGCACCTTTCTGGCATCCCAGGGTCCATAGGGTCTTATCAATCCCTGTACCAAGTGGTTGTAACCTGATATGAGATTTTTCACACATTGAGTATGATTTTTCCATTTATTAAATTTATCTTGGGATAATGCACTAGACTAGGCTGATGCACTCTCTGTTTGTCTCTTTACATTTAACATGAATTGTTAGACAGGGTCAATTTGGTTTTCTTGCAGGTTAGTTGGTAGGTGTGTTGTCTGCAGTGTTAAAATAGGGCCCTGCTTTGGTGCAAGGGAAGCACTGTCACTCTGAGCAGGGCTTTGGCAGAGCAAATTATTTGTCTGAACTTTTGCTGTGGTTGCTTTGTACCAGTTTTCCGCCATTGCTATTGGTGAGGGTATTCCCCTCTGGGGTTCTCATGAAGTATAGTGCAGAATTGGGGTAATATGCCTGTGAAGCAGTACGCAGCAAACCAGTTTCAACTGTCCTGTAGCAAAGTCCTCATGGCAAAAGAAGGAAGTGCCATAGTACCATATAAAGGGCTCTAGGCAAAGCGGCAGAAACAATGTGACCTGCTGTGTGATGCTCTAAGAATTAGTCATCCATCGGAGACTAAGCTCTGAATGGTGGAATTTTAGTGTCAAATTTGAAAAATTTAACACTGTATAACTGAACAAGTTTCAAACACATTTCTGGTTTCTGGATAGTTTTAGGGCAGAACTAAACTCACAGAAATACTCACCTCCTCATTCCAGCGATGTTAAATCGCTCATCAGCTGTTGTCATCTTCTTCCCGGCCTCTTGATTGGCTGGTTGGGGAATAATGATGTTATCCCACGCTTACACAAGTGAGTCAGTCATTCTTGAGTTGGAGTGTGCCGGGAATGTACGCTATACTAAGCATGTGCAGCTCGGTGTGCACTCAACAGACTGCAAACAGGTAGGTGTTTGTTATTACAGAAAGACACAGCATGTCTCTTCTGCAATTAAGAGCTTTCTGCTCGCAGTTTTTATTAGTCACGTTTGGTTCTACTTTAAAGAAAGAGTGCTATTCAGGATACACATAATAACTCTAAAGAAAGTAACAGAAATATTATGCCTTGTGCTTGCTATGGGATTACAGTAATTACAGTAATAGTCCAATAAACAGGGTGACCCAATCTTAACTGTTCTTGCTGCTGGCCTTTGTATAAAGGCCTGTCTCTGATTGTCATGGCGGGCGGACCCCGCGGGTCTTTAGGGTCTGGGGTCCATAACCCTGGGACCATGGCACTGGATCTGTAACACCCTGGAGCTAACTACACTCATTGCACCAAGTGCCAAGGTGAGATCCCAAGCAGGACCCAGTGCTCAAAGCAAAAATTACAGACCATTCCCAAAGCTTGGGGTCTGGGTATGGCTTCCAAGGTTATACCAAGATGGCACTGATCCTAATAAATTTTAAGATCATAAACAGTCAAGTGAATAAAATAATAAACTAGTTAAGAGTGTTTCACAATTACCTCTAACACAGATGGTCAGATACTATAGCTGGCTTCTTTGCCTATAACAGCCCCCTTTCTCATAAGGCAAGCAGGCCTACCAGTACTCGATTACCCCCATGAGCTATACACAATGCTATAGTGCCTTGCCACCATGCCAGGGCAGGCGCCAACTGAGCACTGCAAGCAGATATTGCAGTTGGCAGACAGGCCAAATGGTTCAATGACAGTCTAGGGGCAAGGCAGGCAAGGTTCAGAATAATCAGGGTCAAATCCATAGTCAAAATCCAGGCAGAGTTCAAAGAGTAGTCAATATCCAATTTGAGGTCATCAACGAGGGAATCCAAACTAGCAGGCAGGGCAGACAACAGGAAGCTTGGAGCATGTGTACAAACTCAATATGACATGCATAAGACTGCAGACTTGGCTGGCTTAAATAAGGTTCGGTCTCCATCCAGACATTGGCCACATCAATCACCTTGCCAGTGGACAGACAGGGAGGATGTATCACAGCCAAAACCAGGATGCTGGAACAAGTCCAGCAGATGTTGAGGAAAAGGAGCTTTTACACGCTCCTGATAGTGATTTCTCCGTAAGAGGGGAGAGGTCCATCACCTTAGCACTTACGGTTATGAGGGGTTGCCAAGGGGCGTATCGTCAAAAGCTTTGCCAGAGTCCGATTCACCTGAAGGTACCAGCCTATAACCAAGCTTGTGTCCTGAACTGCAGAATTAAGGCCTAGGTCAGACTGGCATTGAAAGCAGGTGTTTGAGGAGCGTTTTTTTAACGCTCCTCAAACACCTATGCAAACGATAATATGGGCAGCATACAGCACTGTTCACATTATCAAAAAACATGAAGCGTTAGCATTTCGACGCTTCAAAATTGAAGCCTCATGTTGAGTTTGAAGCCTTTCAACGCCTCCAATTCAAGTCTATGGTGATGCTCCACAAACGTACTGGCAGGTGTTTGTGGGGCATTTGTGGTGTGTTAAAACCACACCACGAATCCCTATAATAAACTGTAATGGTATTAATGTTTGTAATACACTTATAAAAACGCTTCAAAACCGCACATAGGGCGTTTGGGGAGCATTTTTAACGCTTGTAAGAAGCCAGTCTAATGCCCATACTAAAGCTCATTAACACCTAATACCTATACTAAAGCTATAGAAGCTTTAATAATGTACAGCGCTGAGCAAACCTTTTGGCGCTATATAAATATTGTATAATAATATAGGAGCGTTTGGTAAGAGTTAGAAATTTAGTCAAGTATGAACAAGCCCTAAAAAAGAGGATTTTTCTACAGTCTATAATCATTGGAGATTTTGTTTCATTTCCTGTCTTGGTGACAACTGGTACAGGAACCAATGAAATCTCCCCAGAGCCACAAAAACCAGTAAATTTGACAGAAGTTGGCATGCTATGCAATGACCATAATGAAAATATAATAATTGTATGGCAGGCAGCGTTACTATGTATGAATGTAACACTACTGGTCAAGCAAATGGCATATAAACTTACAATATCTGGCATCGCCTTGGCAATGGCACTGTGAGCCATGGGTTCAATGCAGAGTAGGTGGATTATTTCTCTCATCATGCATTCTTCCATGGTGATATCACTGACTCCCGGCACATATCGCTCATCTGGAAGGGGAAACAAAGTGAGACTTTCAATTCAATTTCATCCATCCAATAGCTGTTTTAATGTTCCCGCCACTTTAATACATTTATTTATGACATTCACCTATTTGAAACTGTAGAAAAAAAATCTCTTATGTTTCTAAACAATGCTATAGACTTGCAAACTAAACACCTTGAGAATCTATTCTATAGCACAGATGGTATTTTTTATCCTATAGAAATAAAAAATATATACATAAAAAATGGCTGTGTACCAGAAACCCCTTGGATTGAAGATTTAAAATTGGTTGTGCACAAACTCATTTTTAGATAAGATGATACACAAGCACACAGCCACCGACACAAAAGACCTTAAAGTGGAACTTCACTCTCTCAATTAACAGTGACTATTTTGAATGCTTATGCTGCTAGCATTAGTAAAAAGATATGAAAGTATATGATATTCACTTGCTTTAAACCGTTATTATTTTTTACATTTCATTAGTTACTTCCTGGTTTCCATGCCTAGGCAAATGATGTCATACATCCCAGGAGTCTTTAGGAGGGGAGGAGTGGTTTTCTCAGCTAAGCACACCCTCCTGCCTGTATGTGTGAGCTAAGGACAGATGGATTCCAGAAAGTAATTGCTACATGAATCATCTACATGGCCATCTTATTCAAGATGGCCAAAGCTAGAAATGCCAAGAGGTGTTTTTCTAAGTGATTTTTCAGCAAAATTAGAGTGGAGACATGGATGTATATTAAAAGTGAATTAAACAAGAGCTTTTGGATAGTGGTGCTCTCCTTTACGTTTTTAACCCGTGTTCTAACAATTAGGTTCTATGCACACTGTATTCCAAAGGACACCGAGAAGAAAAGCAGCTGGAAAACTCTGTACACGCTGTATAGTTGGATATCCTCCTGCGCTTATATGGATGACCCTAACTGCTAGCTGCTGCCACTCACCTTATACCATAAAGTAAATACAAAATATAGAAAAATAGTGAAGCGCTACTAAAATGCAATATAATATTAATACAAATTATGATAAGACAAAGTGATGAGCAATAACACACTGTGCTCTTATCTGCAAGGATCAATAAAGTGCAAATATAGTGAAAAGCAAAATACTTGTGACAATCCTCAGTGATGAATCAGAAAATTAATCCAAATAAACATAAATATAAATCCCCCCTATACTATCCATACTGAGTAATATATAGTGATACACAAAAACGTGGTCCCTTACAATAAGGGAAACGCACATGTGATATAGACGTGCAAAATAGCAATAAATTATAGTGCCTTAAATAACAATGCATATAAAACCATATGCAAATGCCTGATGATCCCAAAAAAAAAAAAAAAAATTAGTCCAATGGATATATATATACTGTGATCTTTAGACAACAAAAACAATCATGCAGGTGGTGAAGTGCTCTGGTGATCTTCACTCAGGTGTCAATATATCCTCAAACAGCAGCAATGCCTGCTCACCTCCACACATTGACCCTAAGGGCCAACATGCTTTTAGGATCACCCTAAACCTGGATCCTTAAGGTTACTTCCTCCACCCAGGGACAAACAGGTATCTCATATGCTCCTCTGTTCAGCAACTCTTACTCCTTGGATGGTACTGCAATACCTCTTATGCTCCACCTCCACATCGGATCATGTTAGTGAAACATAAAAACAATATCCTCCATAGGTCAATATGTTTGTTTAATAGGAAAAATAAATAGCCAGTGTTACACTCACATATGCTCCAAACAGAAATCGCTTTTAACCACATCCTATGGGTGTACTGCATGGGGCTGGGTGTAGCAATTTGGCCGCTGCGCCCGGAAGTGCGTCACCGCGTAACTGGAAATGGCGTACCGACATGTTGCGTCACGTGCCTCGTGACTTCATCAGGGTTAACCATCACGAGGCACGTGACGCAACGCGTTTTTTTCACAACTTTTTTCCACATACTGCCACCAGTGCTGTACAGCATAATTTTAGACTGACTGCTTGTTACATTAATGATCATTGAAACAGCAATCATTTGAACTGTCATGAATGGCTTTCATTTATGACTCATTGTTTACCATTGTGATGCTGCGATTGGCCCACAGCTATCACATAGTACAGGGTGCTGTGACTGGCCCAGGTACCATGTGATCACTCGTGACCAATCACGACTCACACAATAGTACACAATGACGTCATGAATGTATTCTATTCATGACCCTTGCTTACTACGTGACATGTGATCGCACAGTTATGACGTGGTATCTAGGCTGCTTACAGTGACCAGATATCAAGAATAGCAATCCTTGGTAGACATAGCAGTTGTAGATCCCTCTGCAGCACGCCATAGGCGAGGTGTGCACTGCACAGGGTGCATGAGCACCACAACGTACTGGTATGTTACATTGTCTGGGGAAGTTGCCGACCAGCAGTAGATGTACTAATGCTGGTCAGCAAGTGGTTAAGCATTTTAAAACCACATATAAAAACATTAGTACTTAAAATAGATACCAACCAATTACACAGATCAGAGTATGCAGCATCTCCTCAGTAAGCATGTTCCATTGTCTTGACAAGTCCTAAGATATACAATAAAAAAAATACGTGATTTATGTCTGTAGACAGACGCACACATACACAAGAGAGGCAGACATATCACAGATAAATTAAGGAATGATTTGCGATTGGTTAATACAGGTTACTGCACTTTTACAATATTACATTCATATTTTATTGTATTACAGATTTGTGAAGATATGTACTTAAACCACTAGAAGCAGTTCTGCTTTTCACTCAGCCTCACTTGACTACCACATCTAACTGCCGAGATACGATAGCAGCTATTGTTTTCAGTGCATGGTTTTTTAGTAACTAAACTAATGCAGATATTTTAAGCAGTAGAGTACAAATATTGTGTAGAAATAGAAAAAAAAAAACATACATATGTAATTATTACAAACTACACACAGGAACATTTTTAAAAGCATTAATATACTAATAGATTTATATAGCCAGAATTAAAGTTTTCTTAACCATGTGATCTCCAGAGGGTTTCACCCCCTTTATGACCAGGGCATTTTTTTTTTGCTATTCAGCACTGTGCTATTTTAACTGGCAATTGCTCGATCATGCAATACTGAACCCATGTATAAGTTATATTTCTAATTTTTTTCACACAAATAGAGCTTTCTTTTTCTGGTATTTGATCACTACTGGGGTTTTTTTTTTTTGTTTCTGATATAAATCGAAAAAAAAAGACCAAATATTCTGAAAACCCCCCCCCCCCCAAAAAAAAAAAAAAAACATACCGTATTTTTCTCTCCATAAAACGCACTCCCCCCCCCAAAAAAGGGGAAAATGTCTGTGCATCTTATGGAGTGAAAATGGAGCAGCTGGCCCGGAATTCCCGCCACCGCTGTGTTAGAATACCGGGTCGGCCGCTCGGGTCTTCTGTGCTCCTCGGTCCTACCTGTTACTCGGTCCAGCGCTGTTCTCACAGTCTTCTCCCTGGCGCTGGCATCTTTAGTGTGGGCACCCGGCTGTGACAGCTTGAGGCTTCACAGCCAGGTGCCCACTGCGCATGCGCGAGAAGCGCTGCACTTTATGAATGGTCCGGCAGTGTTCTGGGACCGGTCACGTGCCCCAGAAGACGGGGAGGGAGGGCAACGCCACGGAAGTGGGAGCAGGTACCTATCAAATTCAGGAAACCGCTCCCCCCCTCCCTCTGCTCCTCAAATGTCCGCAGTCACTGGTCATCCCCTGTACTGTGTCCGCAGTGTACTGTGTCGGCAGTCTCTTGGTCATCCCCTGTACTGTGTCCGCAGTGTACTGTGTCAGCAGTCTCTTGGTCATCCCCTGTACTGTGTCCGCAGTGTACTGTGTCAGCAGTCTCTTGGTCATCCCCTGTACTGTGTTGGCAGTCTCTTGGTCATCCCCTGTACTGTGTCGGCAGTCTCTTGGTCATCCCCTGTACTGTGTCGGCACTGTGTCGGCAGTCTCTTGGTCATCCCCTGTACTGTGTCGGCAGTCTCTTGGTCATCCCCTGTACTGTGTCGGCACTGTGTCGGCAGTCTCCTGGTCATCCCCTGTACTGTGTCGGCACTGTGTCGGCAGTCTCTTAGTCATCCCCTGTACTGTGTCGGCACTGTGTCGGCAGTCTCTTAGTCATCCCCTGTACTGTGTCGGCAGTCTCTTGGTCATCCCCTGTACTATGTCGGCAGTCTCTTGGTCATCCCCTGTACTATGTCGGCAGTCTCTTGGTCATCCCCTGTACTATGTCGGCAGTCTCTTGGTCATCCCCTGTACTATGTCGGCAGTCTCTTGGTCATCTCCTGTACTGTGTCCGCAGTCTCTGGTCATCTCCTGTACTGTGTCCGCAGTCTCTGGTCATCCCCTGTACTACGTCCGCAGTCTCTGGTCATCCCCTGTACTACGTCCGCAGTCTCTGGTCATCCCCTGTACTACGTCCGCAGTCTCTGGTCATCCCCTGTACTACGTCCGCAGTCTCTGGTCATCCCCTGTACTACGTCCGCAGTCTCTGGTCATCCCCTGTACTATGTCTGCAGTCTCTGGTCATCCCCTGTACTATGTCTGCAGTCTCTGGTCATCTCCTGTACTATGTCTGCAGTCTCTGGTCATCTCCTGTACTATGCCTGCATGCCATTGGTTCAGAATATTTTTTTTCTTGTTTCCTCCTAGGTGCACCTTATGGTCAGGCACGTCTTATGGAGTGAAAAATATGGTATTTTCTATTTTCTGTTTTAGAAAAAAAAATCAAATCAAATTTGGGCCAAAATGTATTCTGCTACATGACTTTGTTAAAAAAAAATCCCAATAAGTGTAGATTAATTGGTTTGTGTGAAAGTGATAGCATCTCCTAACAATGGTATATATACGTGAATTTACACAGCTATTGCACTATACTGGTAATGGCAGTTATCAGCAACTTACAGTGGGATGGAAATAGTATTGCGGAAATCTGGTACTAACAGACCCTCGCTGGGAGGTACACTGACACCGATATCAATAGTGACATTATTACAGTAATCAGATATAATACTGCACACTGTCACTGTACTAATGACACTGACTGGGAAGGGGTTAACATCAAGGGGCAAGCAAAAGGCTGTGTGCTTGACAATGTGTAATGTGTGTAATATGTGCTGCTTTTACTTACAGACCCGACTGTTTTTTACTCCCTGCTTTCCAGAAAGAAGAAACAGTCAGATCGCTGATCTGTGTACAGAGCCCTGTGTGTTTTCTAAACACAGGACTCGGTGCTGTGATTGCCCGGGACCTGCTGCAAAATGCCACTGTAGCTAGTGACAGTGCAGGTTAGCAGTGGACATGCGCGTATGCTCCCCAAACAGGCAGGATCCTGTCATCCAGCCCGGCTGTGCCGCTTGCCCGCACTAAATGTACAGGCAGAAAGCAGTTAAGTGAATATAAACCAAATTACTGCATGTAACTGATATTACTACAGGGATTATAGCCATGAAATCTGAAGCAATATATTCTCTTAAAGGATAAGTTCACCTTTGGGAACGTGTTACGTGTTCCATCTATTTTAATGTTCCTAATGCTGCAGCCACTGCCTGCTGTCGCCCCTTCATGTGACACAAGTATGGGGAGAAGTTACCCGTAATAGCGGTCACTTTAAAAACAGTGTGGCCTTGCTCAGAGAGCCGCGTCATTCATTCACAGTGTTCTGTGAATGAATGAACTACAAGTCCCGACAGCTTCAGCGGCTGTCGGCTTGTAGCTCTCAATTAACCACCACAGCGCTGTGGAGCACTGTGGTGGTTCATTGAATCCTCCTGTCGGGGTATCTGCTGACCACTAGACATTAATATTTATATACGCTGTAAACAGCTTGTGATTTTACAGAGTATACGTTTGATGTGTATAATCATTACAGCTCCACACTTAATGTTTAAATTTAATTTGTGATGGTATTCACTGACCAGTGCAGACTAGCTACAATTTAGGTAAGGATGTATTGCTGTACAGGAGTAGAAAACAGGGAGCTGTTCAGAACTACCCCAACAGGTCAACTTCATGTGTGCAAAACTGTCATATAAATTAAATGAAAGTATCATACCACATCTTTGGTTGGCATTGTGAGGTTTGAGAGGGCTTCCACAAGTTCATATTTTTCAAGTACCAATAGCAAGAAGCTGTTTGGATCCATGTATGAAGCAGCAATCTACAGAAAGCAGAATAACCAATGAGGAAATATCTTCAATCTTAGTGAAATTCTACCACATAAAATACAATCTTCATAAACTGTTTAACATAATCTTCTTCAACAATGTGATGATCTTATGTGTAATGTGAAAACATTCTATATGCAGGTACTTTGCTTTATAAATTACATGCACTTAAGTAACAAAGCTTGAAAAGTTAATTTAACACAGGAAAAAGGACTGTTGTCGACACCAGCTGAAAAAAAAAATCTGCACGGCCCAGGTACCTATTGCTTGTCCAACCTGAGCTGGTATGGGGCAGGACAACTTAACTGACTGAAGTAATATGGTACAATACTGATACAGGCCTGCCGGGGTCAGGACTTGGCATCACCATACCATACTTGCAACGTTTTCAAGGGAGCTTGTGACCTGACAGGCTCTACCCACAGTGATATGTGACCAGGCATCCTCTGTGCCTCTCCATCCTATGAAAATGTGGAGTTACTTCCAGAGCCACAGGAAATACGTAGCAGTACGGCAGTTGCTGTTTATATGCCAATTTTTCATAATGTGATCGCTCTGGTGCTAGGTTGTTACATATAGTTAGTCTGGCTGAAAAAGACAAAAGTCCATCCAGTTCAACCATTAAAAAAAAAAGTTATAATCCTATACCCACAGTTGATCCAGAAGAAGGCAAAAAAAACCCAGCAAAGCATGATCCAATTTGCTCCTGCTGGGAAAAAAATTCCTTCCTGATCCCCCGAGAGGCAATCGGATATTCCCGGGATCAACTTTACCTATAAATGTTAGTATCCAGTTATATTCTGTGTATCTAAGAAAGAATCCAGGTCTTTTTAAAGCAATCCACTGAGCTGGCCAGAACCAACTTTTGAGGGAGTCTATTCCACATTTTCACAGCTCTCACTGTGAACGAACCTTTCCATGTTTGGAGATTACATTTCTATTCCTCCAGACATACAGAGTGCCCCCTTGTCCTCTGTGATGACCTCAGGGTAAAAAGGCTCTACAATGAGTTCACTATATGAACCACTGATGTATTTATACATGTTGATCATATCCCCCCTTAATCTCATCTTCTCAAGAGAGAATAAATTCAGTTCCTCTTATCTTCCCTCATAGCTGAGCTCCTCCATGCCTCGTATCAGTTTGGGAAACTGGAGAAAGTACAGAGAAGGACAACCAATGTTCTTTTTGTGAATTGGTGCCCAAAACTGAACTGCATATTCCAGATGAGGTTTTAGTAATGATTTGTACCGGGATAATATGATATCTCTCTCTCTGGAGTCTATGCCTCTTTTAATACAAGAGAGGATTTTGATTGCTTTAGAAACCGCAGCTTGGCATTGCATGCCACGATTAGGTTTGTGACCTACCAGAACTCCCAGATCCTTCTCCACCATTGATTATCCCTATGTGGGCAAGGTAGCAAAGGTAGCTATATAGTATACAATAGATCTACTTAATTCAACCACAACAAAGTCAGATAATATTAACAAAACCTTGCATCCTCAGAACGCTTAACCCTAGTTAATCCAAAAGGAAACTATATACACCTTATAAAATTATTCCATATTTTCATATCCCATAACCCCTTAAACTGCTTTACATCATTTTTTTTACATCACAGAAACCTGTCATTTTAATAGGGGTGTGTAGACTTTTTATATCCACTGTAGCTGGCTTTCTCTTCTCCCTTTTTGTACATGATGAACAAAAATGATTAGCATATCCAGATAAGGGGGTTGATTTAATAAAACTGAAGAATGCAAACTTTGATGCAGCTCTGCTTTGAAACAAAAATAGCTTTCATTTTTTTTTCTCTTTTTTTTTTTTAACCAAAGCTTAACTGAATAAGCTGAAGTTAGCAGTGGATAGGCTACTATGCACAGCTTCCCCAGATTTTGTACTCTAGTTTTAGTAAATCAACCCCAAGGTCTCGCAAATGTACAGTGGTAAAATTATGTCTCTGTCTTTGGCCGATACCAATTATCTTTTGATTTTGGATACAGATTTCTAATATAGAATTCCCATCATACAGACTAATATAATAGTTGTTGCATCCAAGATTGACAAATTCCATTACCTGTAACATGAGGATGTCCTTATCATACATCTCCTCTCTGCATTTGACATCTTGGTAGTAGTAAACCTACAATTAAAGAAACACATTAACAGAGAATGGACTCATTATAACATATTCAGAACACATAAATAACATTTAACGTGCATCTAAGGGTAAAACTGTACACAAAAGAGGAATTTTAACTTCTGTACTGTACTCCAAAATATGGAATGTACAGAGAACACAAGCAAAGTATTCATAGACCTTGAACTATAGGCTTGCACCTGTAGGTGAATGAACACCGGCAAAGATGGGTGTCTGCCCTACAACCCTATTCCCCTTCTGAGTCCTCAATTTAGTAGCAAACAGTGCAGAGTAACCAAGGATTGGAAGGGAAGGTGGCCTGTGGCCTGAACTGAACTACAAGATATGGAATTTATAGGCACACCAAAATTAATCTTATTTTAATCATACAATACAGGACACACGCAAAAGTATTCATATACCCTGGATGTCTTGAAGTAAAGAATTAGAAGAGCGGGCAACAACTAGGCTAACAAAACTGTGCCAATAGGCCTAACAACAAGGGTCAAAAGACCATGGTTCAGAGTGCCACTTGAAAAAAAATCCAAAAAACTTTTTGGCTAATAGCTGCATCTGCACCTTGTAGAACAGTGAACAAGTATGAACAGAGAATCAGGTGGAAGCCTTACAAAGCTGGTCTACAAAGACCTGATACCAGAAAGCCCAGGAAACTCCTACTGATCTGGTGAAGTGGGCATGTAAAAACGCAGGAGACTTGTCCTTGAGAGAAAAAGCTCTAGCAATCAGATTTCTTATCCATTAAGCAATGATGGACTTGGAAGTAGGGCATCCTTAGCAAGGTCCTGAGAACAGGACAAACAGGGAATCCATCATCCTGATCAAAGCTGTTGCTTTCGGGGTAGACTCTAATGGCTCTGATTAAGTCCAGCCAATGAAGAGAAATTTCTTTTGGATGCATTAGTTCAGTGGTCTCCAAACTGTGGCCCAGGGGCCAGATGCGGCCCTTTGGTTGCTTTTATCCGGCCCTTTGGGGCTCTATTTCATCCACTGATACCAAGAATGGGGCAGAATTCCCTCCACTGACACTAACCCTTGTCAGAACACAATAGCTCACTGGGGGGAGATGGCCAAACAGCATTTATATAGCGCCAACAGTTTGTGCAGAACATTACAATATAAAGGGAGACAGTACAGTTACAATACAATAAAATACAAAAAAGAGTTTAAAGTGTCCTGCTCATAAAAGCTTACAATTTAATAGGGTGTGGCAATATGTACAAAAAGTTATAACTGTGGGGGATAAGCTGATGGAAGTGATAAACCTTTAGTTGGAGGTGCGATAGGCTTCTCTGAAGAGGGGAGTTTTCAAGGATCACCTAAAACATAGCCAGAGTAGGGTATATAGCCAGACAGATGGAGGTAGAGAGTTCCAGAGGATGGGAGAGGCTCTGGGGAAATCCTGGAGACACGCAATGGAGGAGAAGAAAAGGGAGCTTTAGAGCAGGAGGTCAAGAGAGGAGCGTATAGGGCGGTTTGAGTGATATTTGGAGACAAGACTGGCAATGATGCTTGGGGCATAGTTGTGAATAGCTTTTGTCCTCTGTTTTTTTTTTTTTTTTTTCGTTTTCTGTGTGTACCAAGCATAAGAAGGATTCCAGGTACAATAGAAAATCTTTCTTGCAGTGGCTTTTCTTGCTTTCAGCAAGGTAGGGATAACAGACTCAAAGACCTCTCTATCTCTTTCTTCAGTAATCCTGGATTGATCTCCTCACTCAGAAGCTTTAATAGCCTGTCTCGAGAGAGCGAGAGGCTAAATGAGAGGTTGAGTGCATTTCCAATTTGAGGTGAAGTTTTTTTTTACCCCAAACTGACGTGGAGGTATTACTCAGGTGATAATCTTTTCATGTGCAGAAGAAAGAAACTGAGACTTTGTTCCCTATTGGGGAAAATTATTTGGATTTTCAGTTTCATAAAGTTTTTTTTTTTTATACACAAAAGACATAGGGGGGTTATTTACTAAAACTAGAGTGCAAAATCTGGTGCAGCTTTGCATAAAAAAACAATCAGCTTCCAGATTTTATTGCCAAGGCTTAACTGAACAAGCTAAATTTAGAAGCAGATTGGCTACCATGTACAGCTGCACCAGATTTAGAGTGCAGTAGTTTTAATAAATCTGCCCCATAGTATTTGGTGTATAATTTGTATAAATTATATAAATAGATGTTTTGTTATTTGTGGAGTATAGCATAGTATATATGGAGTATAGTATATAAAACGCACACATTTTGTATATGTGTACACTCTGATTTGTCACAATTGTTGTTTTAAAGCAGTCGTTCTCAACCTGTAGAATCTCAGGACCCACATTTGTCCTTGGTCATCAAGTTCTGACCCAAAAAATAATTTAAATTCCGAAACATAAGTTATTCAACAAAACTTGTGCAGTATTCTACAATGTATATGCAGTAGGTCTTCAGTGGCTTTTTAAATAAACAATATAGTTTGTGCAATATTTTTCAGTCCCCCCTATTCCCAATTTTATACACTCCTTCCTTCAATCCCCCCTTCCATGCCCTATTTTAGCCCATCCTTTCATGCCCGCCCTCCTTTCCCCTTTTATGCTCTTTTCTTCTTATCCTCCTTTCACACCCACCTTGACTCCTTTTTCATGCCCTTCCCTTTCATAGTTTCCTTCAGTCCTTCCTTTTCATGCACTTTCAGCCCCTCCACTTCACCATTGTTTTCCTGTTTTCTTTCACTCCTTTCACCACCCAGCCACAACCCAGGAAAAGTACATAGTTGAGTCATTCCCTTGCATCTAGTGGAGCTTTTCTTCCCTCCTGCACAGCTAGCTGGCTGGAAGGAAGTGCAGTTATATGTCACTTCCTCCCAGCGCCACCAGAGAGGAAGGAGGAATGAGTGCGAGGGCAGGGGGACTGCTTTGTAAGTGCACCATTTGCACCACCTTCATGGCTAGCTGCCCACAATAATAAAAATATTAAGGCTGGCTGTAGTTGGGGTCCCGGCCATCTTAACATTTATATTCGTACAGCTGGCGGCTTTTATTAAAACGATGTTGTCAGGGCACCAGACATTTTATTGGGGCATTAGAGAGGCCTGAGGGAAACTTGCCCCGCGGCCCAGTCCGCTCCTGGTCGCGACCCACTTTTGGGTCACGAAACATTACTTGTTAATTTAATACTGCAGCAGTTCAGGTGTATGCAATTAAATTTGACAAAATATATCTCACATGTATATTATATACAAATACATATATTTTTCATTTTGTGCCAGTTTAGGGCAGTGCTGACTGGGGATTTATTATAAATCATAAATTATAAATAGATTGCTGTTCTATTTGCTCATGAACAGAGAATGCTTTAACAGTTTTTGCAGATCTTTTGGACCCATGGGTAGACAAAGCAGAATAAAGAACTACAATGCACAGACTTTTGAACACAGAAGCACTGAGCTTATTCACACTAGCCAGCATGTTGTCTGAAGCTCCTGCTTCTAGTGTAAAAAAGTTTGGGGCAGAAAAATCTTTTGTAGTCTCCTGCTGTGTGCACCCTCAGCAGAGTGAATATTCACCGAGGATTAGCCATTGTTCCCTTTTACCTAGTTTTTCTGCCATACCTACGGGTGAAGGTAATCCCTTGTGGGGTATTCATAGAGCAGAGTGCAGAATATAAGGTTAGCGTGTCCAGGAGTAGGCAGCAATCCTGGTGTAGACCACCCATGACAAATCCTTGTGAAAGGGCAGGAAGGAGTACCTTATGAAGTCTCTAGGCAGAAGTGGCAGTAACCACCTGAGACTGAGCTCTAAGTGGTTGAACTTTTAGCAACAAGTACACAGTAAAGTTAATACATTCCAAACATAGCTCAATTTTCACAGTAATGGTCAGAGATACAGGGTGACCCTGTCTTACCTGTCCATGATGCTGGACTGTATATAAAGTCCAGGCTTTACCCATTATGGTGGGCATACCCCAAAAGGGGTCTTCAGGTTCTGGGTTCCTTAGTAAGGGATCACAACCCCAGACCTGTACAGCACCCTGGAGTACGTGTTGCATCAAGTGACAAGGTGAGCGCCCGTGCAGGGTACAATGCCCGAAGCAACATTACAGGCCATCCCCACAGTAAGGGGGCCCAGATACAGCTCCATTTTATAGAGGTTGCGCCGATCTGGATGCCCAACTTTTACCTGTGGTATTAGAAGGCAGTAACGGAGATGATTGAAAGAAAAGAATCTGAAAATAAAATGATAAACTAGTTAATGGAACAGTGATTTCTTCGCAAAGGAGAAGAGGTCCATCACTTTAGGACACAGTGACTGCTTGACATGCTTGAATGCTGAATGGAAACAAAACTGAGTGGACACCTCCAAGTTGAATCCAGTAATAATTTTATGGAATGATTGATCACTGTTGATGAAACATGGTTACACCACTATGATCTGAAGACCAAACAATAGTCTTTAGACTGGCCATGGGGAACCCAAGTGCTGCCAAATAAATTCAAGACCCAAAAGTCAGCAGGAAAAGTCATAGCCATGGTTTTATTGCATAGACCTTCCACACTGCTTACAGGCTAATTTCTGGTTGCAAAACCTTTAAAACAAAATTTGAAAGGGAAGGAATTTTCAACTGATTCTGAGGTGACAAGCAGCAGCTGAACAGTATTTCAGTGACCAGATATTAGAAATGTTTTTAGAGAGGTGAAAGAAATCTGGGAAACAATGTTGCAAGTGTGGTGAACTTCAGGGTGAATAAGTGGAACAACATGTAAATATTCATGGCTCTAAGTCATTCTCTTCTTGGTTGAGCCTGGAACTTTTCAGAACCCCCTTGTATGATAGAAGCAGATACATCACCAAGTATCCTACAGATACAACTTAACTTTACAGATAAAATTACACAGGACATAGCCAACTATACAGGAACAATAAAGTCTATTGTTCATTTTTACCTGGCTAATAATGGTGAGGCCATTTCTTCTCCACATTTCAGCCGCCACTTGTCCGACAAGCACCAGACACCTCAATGGACTCTCAACAAGAAGTTCTATCTGGAAGTCTTTCTAAATAGCAATGACAAATATGTCAGGAGATTTCAAGGTACACAAGCTAGTAAACATATAAGCAAAAAAGATAATTCAACACATCTTCAGCATTTAAATATAATCAACTCTCTATTGAGACCCTGTATCAAGTGAACTATCCCCTCCTTTTTAAACAACTTAAAGATGATCTTTGTCGTTGGGCTGCTTATGCTATATCTTGGTTTGGCAGGACCAACTCGATTAAAATTATGTTTTTGCCTCGATTGCTATATTTTTTTGGACCTTACCAATACCAATTCCGAGACGCAAGTTGCAACACCTACAAGCTGAGGTGCTTCATTTTATCTGAAACAATAGAAGGCGTTGGATGAACTAGAAGACACTATACGCTTTAAAATCACAAGGTAGGATTGGCCTTCAAGCTTACTTCCAAGCTGCCAGATTGCACTACTGGCCTATACTACCGCTAAAGGATCTACTCCCCTCTGGGTCTCTATTGAGGCTCTTTCCTGCCATTCTTTAGTGGTCGGTTCCTGCCTTTGGCTCCCTAATCGGTCTCACCCTCCTATATTATGTCCCACTCTGTCTTTCTCGTTGACAGTCTGGGATAGAGTACGCCATCGCAAACCATTAGCCTCTTCGCACACACCTTTAGCGCATTTTTTGTAATCCTGAATTTGTACCCGGTCTAGTTCTGGCCCCGTTCCAATGGTGGCTCAATAAGGGATTATTGCAGATAGGAGACTACCTCTAGGGCGACCGAATTTACTCTTTAGAACATTTTAAAGAGAACTTGTAGATGTATCCTACCAAAACCTTTAGATACAATCAAATAATCTCTTTTATCTGCTCGAAATGGTATTATTAGATGGACTACCCATTCTTACCAATTTCGAACTTTCATGCCAGAACAGAAATTTCTCTAGAGGCCATATTTCTATGGTGTACACCCTTCTTACTGACCCGAGTTGTAAACATCCCTATATGGATCAATGGGAATGGGACCTGAATGTTAATTATGATCTCATTGGCAAGACATAGCCTTGGCATTATCTAAAGTTTCCATCAATACCACCTTAATTGAAGCAAATTACAAAACACTTTTGCGATGGTATTTGGTCCCAACTGCGAGGATGCATCCATCTGCCTCACTGATATGTTTTCGGCATTGCAGGCAGATGGGATCTACATATCTCATCTGGTGGCAATGTCTGATAGCAACCAGATTTTGGATCCGCATGTTTAACTTTATCTACACAGTGACGGGGGTGAATGTTTGTAGATCCCCGGAGATGGCCCTCTTTCATAAATTCCCAAACATGGTTCCAAAAAAAATCCCTTAAATTGCTCATTTACAGTTAGGTCCATATATATATTTGGACAAAGGCACAATTTTAGTTTTTTTCAGGTACTGACCTAAACATATTCAAGCTATAGTTATATAATGGATATGGGCTGAAAGTGCACACTCTCAGGTTTATTTTGAGGTTATGTACATCCAAATTGGAGGAGGGATTTAGGAATTACAGCTCTTAAAAGTAGCAATTCCCCCTTTTTCAAGGGACCAAATGTAATTGGACAATTGAATATAATCATAAATATCTAAATGTTCATTTTTAATATTTTGTTTAGAATCCTTTACTAGCAATGAATGCCTGAAGTCTGGAATCTATGGACATTACCAAAGACTGTGTTTCCTTCCTTTCTGATGCTTTGCCAGGCTCTAACTGCAGCTGTCTTCAGTTGTTTTGTTTGCAGGTCTTTCTGCCTTTAGTTTTGCCTTCAGCAAGTGGTGATTGTAGCCGTATTAGTGCGTATTAATTTGGACATGGGATTTCTCAATCATTATCTAACATTTTTATGACTCCATCTGCGAGTGTTGTTCTTTCCCCCCAGTCTTTACTTTTGCTTTGCTGTGTCTTATCTTTAGTCTAACCCTAGGCTTGTGTTTCTTTCTGGTTTTTTTTTTTTCTCATCCCCCACATCTCTTCTAACATTCTGCTAAAACTTTGTAATAGTACTGCTGGGACCTTGAAGAAGGGGACATACCCCAAAAGCTTGTCCTCAAAATTGTATGTTCGAGCAAATAAAAAAAGTATCACGTCAGTACTCAATTGTTTCTGCCTTCAGCAAGTGAAATGCATGCTCAATTAGGTTGAGATCAGGTGACTGACTTGGCCATTGCAGAATATTCAACTTCTTTTAATTCAAAAGCTCCTGGGTTGCTTTTGCAGTGTGTTTTGGATCGTTGTCCATCTGTACTGTGAAGCGCCATCCAATCAACTTTGCTGCATTTGGCTGACAGTATATCTCTAAACACTGCAGAATTCATCCAGCTGCTTCTGTCATGTCCACATCATCAATAAACACCAATGACCCAGTGCCACTGGAAGCCATGCATGCCCATGGCATCACACTGCCTGCACCATGTTTTACAGATGACGGTGTGTGCTTTGGATCATTAGCTGTTCCAAGCCTTCTCCACATCTTTTTTCTTCCCGTCATTCTGGTACAGATTAATCTTAGTTCAAAGAATGCTTTTCCAGAACTGGTCTGGCTTTTTTAGATGTTTTTTGGCAAAGTCTAGTCTGGCATTTCTGTTCTTCAGGCTTATGAATGGTTTGCACCTTGTGGTGAACTGTCTGTATTTGCTCTCATGAAGTCTTCTCTTGATTGTAGACTTTGACAATGATACGCTCACCTCCTGGAGAGTGTCCTTAACATGTCTGGATGTTGTGAATGGGTTTTTCTTTTCCATAGAGAGGATCCTGCAATCATTCACCACTGTTGTCTTCCATGGACGTCCATGCCTTTTTAGGTCACTGAGCTCACCAGTGCGTTCTTCTTTCCTCAGAATGTTCCCAACTGTTAATTTCACCACTCCTAATGTTTCTGCTGTCTGATGGATTTGTTTTGTTTTTGAAGCCTTACAATGGCCTGTTTCACTTGCATGGACAGCTCCTTTGAACACATGATGTAGGTTCACAGCAATAGATTCCAAATGCAATAACCACACTTAGAATCAACTCCAGACCTTTTACCTGCTTAATTGATGAAGAAATAACAAATGAGTAGCCCACACCTGGCCATGAAACAGCTTTTGATTCAATTGTCCAATTACTTTTGGTCCTTTGAAAAGAAGGGGGGATGGCTACTCTTTAAGAGCTGTAATTCCTAAACCCTTCCTCCTATTTGGATGTACATAGCCTCAAATTAAACCTGAGAGTGTGCACTTTCAGCCCAAATCCATTATATAACTATAGCTTGAATATGTTTTGGTAAATGCCTGAAAAAAATCTAAAATTGTGCCGGTGTCCAAATATATATGTACCTAACTGTATATGCTGTTGGCAGCAAGAATCACTATTGCTAGACACTGGAAGACATCAATTATTTTGCTTGCAAATGTTAAGAATAAATTTAATTGGATTCATGATAAATGACAGACTCACCTGTATTCTACACAACAATACTAACAAATTTGATAAAACTTGGTACCCGTTGACTCAATACATTTCTGTGCCTTGATATCTCCCGATTTGACCCTCTCTTTCCCTCGTTCCTGTCTACCCTTTTTTTTCTTACTTTGTACTTTTCCCCCTTTTATATGTCTGTTCTCTGGGGGTAGTTGAGACTATTCGCTCCAGAACGTTTGTCATGTTTTTAGTAACATTTGCTCCGTGTGATTATTGGGTTTAAGAACACTGGTTTTCTTCCCTTCCCATTTATCATGTCCCCTGACCCTCCCTTTTTATCCCTCTCCAGCCTCCCTTTCCCTTTTGTCCTACCACTACCTTTAGTACCTGTATATAAATCGGATTAATGCTGGAAACTTTCTACTTGAATTACCCAGTTTTCACACAGATTCTCTGGTCTCCTAATGTATGCCCTCTGTTTGTTAAACCATGTTTTTTTTTTTTGTTGCGCAGTTTGATATCTACTCTTATGACATAATATCTTTCTATCGCCTTATTTGTAAATTGAAAACTTTCAGTAAAAACTACTGGAAAATAAATATAATCAACTCTTGAATTTTGAACAGAAATCTCAAGTGAATATCAAGTCAAAAAAAAATGTATTCCCCATTTTGGAGTGGGGAAGGGTTAGAACTCCTCAGTTCTGTAAGAGATTTTCCTCACTTCCTGATATACTGACAACAATTTCAACAGCCAGAAAATAAGGGACATTTTGCATTAGGGATTGAGATTAAATAAAAATCAGACAGGGGTTCTAGCCTTCCAATACTCACCTAAAAATAAGCATGTTTGTTTCTGTCATTGTTGCTGTTGGAGAGTTCTCTCACTTCCAGTCTTGTAAATTGTGGTCAGCAGGACATGTAGTGAGGGAAAATATTCCTAGTGGAGCTCCAGATAGCAGTAAAAACCTATTTTTACGTTTTCTCCCCACTCTATTCAATATTAAGAAAATGTGCCTTGTTGGGCATATGCCTTAAATTTGTGCCTAGAAATCTAGTATTGTTACCACATCAGTGAACAAAGACAACATTAATTACACACAGTTTTCCTACAAAGTCAGGACTTCCACATTAAATTTTAATAAGCAGAGTCATAAGACTACTCACAATGGGAATATACTCATGCAGCTTGGAAATAACACCAGTTCTACTCATCTGTGAATGCAAACCTTAAAACACAAACAAAAAAAACACAAGTGTCAATGTTTGATATATTGGGGTACTTTGTAAGCTCTGAAACCATTCTAATAACAAAGTCACTAAAATGAAGCGGATTCTGTTTTTGGGGTTGTAGCATTCAGATGCCCCAAGAAGGTAAAGTCAAAAATAAGAAATAGATATGAAAACAAGCCTGGGTGTTTCCACATTCATTTTGTATGCATATACAGTATTTTTATGTATATATAGAAAGTACAGCATATTCACATTCAAGACTGCTGTTAGAAATCACGGGGCCTCACAAGCCTACCTGGCATGGCCCCTTGAAAAGATCAAATTATATTTTCACTAAAATTACACTTAAAACTGAGCTCCAGTATCTAGCAAAAAAAAATAAGTCACAAAAGCTAGATGCTGACTTTTAAAAAACAGCCACTCACCTGTCCTAGGATACAGCAGTCCTCACCACAGCTGGGTTCCCCGGCCGTCCTGTGTTCCCAGTGTCAGCATCTTAAGTGATGGCACCTGGGTGTGATAGCTTGTGGCTTCACAGCCGAGTGTCCGCTGTCCATTATGAATGGTCCCTCAGTACTCTGGGACCTTGTCAAGTGCCTCAGAGGACTGCGGAGGGGGGAAGAGAACTTACGCGTGATCACAGTGGAAGCAGGTACCTCTCAAAATCAGGTACCTGCTCCCCAAAGATTCCAATCCTTAGTGGGGGTCAAAGCCTTAAGGTGGAATTTCCCATTTTGGGTGGAGCATGTGAACTATGGCAGCCAGGCCAAAAAGCCACCATAACATAACATTTTTTCCCAGTATGTCTGTGACGGGAGGAGAGAGAGAGAGAAAGGGAAATGTGGGAGGGATTTGGCACTGGCCCCCAACCGTTACCATGTTTTAAACAGGAGATAAAAGGGGTCTAGTAAGTAAAAAAGATAGTTCTGAAGCTACTAACCCTTGCAGCGGCTCTGGAAGTTCAGAGACAGGAAGAGGGACAGGCATTCCTGCATAAAAGATTTCTACTGTATCCAGCTGCCTGCACAGTATGGGACATATTTCATTACAGGCAAATTAGCTCACCAAAGCTATAGAGAATTTTTTTATTCTTTAATAGGGTTGCACCAACACCGGGTTTTTTCACTGCCGAGTACGAATACCAATACTCTCGGTCAAGTTCTCGCTGACACAGAGTACTGATACCTTTGCAGTGCAATTTGAGCCCATACAAAATGAATGGACTCAAATCATACTACAAAGAATCACATGTGATTTGAACAGGAATGCAACTGTACAGGAAAGTGGTAACCACCCCAATCTATAACTGGCTTATCCAGCAAGGTGCATATGGAAGACCAATGCACAGTATAAACAAAAACAAAAAATTTCCCTGCACACTTACCGATCAGCCTGCGAAACAACCGAATTGGCCCTAAATGTCTGCGTTAAAAACAGAAGATTTTGTTTGCACACATTTGCAAATATATGCTTAAGTCACACTGCCTGCAAGGGACCTCTATATATACTGTGGTCCTAACTCTAAATTTCCAGAGTCTCTATAGAGTAGGAGCACATATAAGAATAGATAGAATGTGCTGTGCATTGCCCTTCCATATGCACTTTGCTGAATAGGCCAGCTACAGATTGGAGCGGTTGACCAAGTACTTGGAATGGGGACACCACTTAAAAGGAGAATTTTGGTGCAGGAGGGTATCCTGTTAGGGATAAAGAGACACTTACAAATTTTAGACTTTGAATATTGACTTTAAAGTTACTAAAACTCCAAAAAACATTTGGATTCTTAGACAAAAAGAGAGCATGGTTGTGTGAGGAGTTTGATATGTTGGAGGCCTATTGGACACTTAAGATACAGGCATAGTGAACACTTATAGGAATAGGGAAGGGGGCACCACTGTTGTATACTGTTATGCATGCTAAAGCTGGAGGAGAGAGACACTGACTCAGAGCCCTGTAGAGGGTAAGGAGTATAGTGCTAGGATTTTATAGTGAGGATTGGGACCTTATATGAATTGCATGAGTGTATGTTGGCAAAAAGGCTAGCTGACTCAGTTGAATGCTTTTTCTGCATCAAGAGACAAGAAGATAAAAGGCATTTAACAGGTTTGGGCATATAATCCTTTTTATGGTGCTGTTGTGGGTCTAATATCCCTGGAAAAAAAAAAAAAAAAAAAAAAAAAATCGAACTTCATCTTGATAAATCGTTTGTGGGAGAAGGGCTTGTAAATAAGTGGCTATTATTTTAGGTTAGATTTTTAGATCAATCCCTTTAGTAAGATCGGTCCTTAGTTGCCACAAAGGTAATGGTCAAGGTCTAGCTTTGGAATGAGGGAAATATGGGCCTTTAGAGATTGAGTGGGGGATGGACTGTCTGTAGAGATAAAGTTGAAAACTTTGATTTGGAAAGGGGTGAGAAGTTCTTTATAAGTTTTATAAAATTTAGGAGTAAACCCATTTGGGACGGGACTTTCACTCATCTCCATTAATTTATTCAGCACACTTAAAACATTGTCTTTACAGAAAACCTAACATTACAGAAACTGTGATGAACTCTTTTTCAGAAAACACCAATTAACAACTGTCAAGTTTAGCTTTTGATTCAATACTTTTCATCGACCTGGAAAAAAGGTATGCAGATCTGGCTTTATCCTGACATACCAGATCTGACAATTTGTTCAGGTCAATTAAAAGTACTAAAGCAAGAAAGTCAGAATAACCACAAAAGGAATTCCAGGGGAAGATTCTCTTTATCAATATTACAAACTAATATACCTTCCTAACCCAAATTAAAAATTCCTTGAGATCAGTTTAGTCAATGCAGACTGTTGAGATTTAGAAAGATAGAACCCAATAGCACCTACCTGCCAGCATCCGGGAGAGGGGCAGATATATACTGACAGGATCTCTGGAGACTTTAAATGGGTAGGTATCATAGGAATGACCACACATCTCTACATAAATCTTCTGTTGGGTGTGGACAGGTTTAATACACTGAAGAACACTATGGTGGCACACCTTGTAAGTCTGGAACAGTATCTCTTCCTTTGTGAAGACAATAACAAGAAAAGGTTATACAAACAGTATGGGTAGATAAATGTTTTGCACAACAACAAAAAATCCCAAGCGCCAAGTCCCAAACACTGTGCACGACTATATGAAGTCTACAAATGATTCCCGGCTGCTGTTTGAAACACTTGGGAGCGGTAACAGCATATACAGTTGAACAAAAACAGCGCTCAGGGATGTTGGTATAGATGGTAACCACATATGGGTATCTTCCAGAAGATAAAACGATGGCTTGCTTTGCTGAGTTGCTCTATGTGGCAAAAAGTGAAGTTACTGCTTTTCTTGGGGAGCTTCTCCCTATTTGTTAAAAAGTTCAGATTTTATTGTTCTGCCTTATTATATTTCCTTGTTGCGTTTCCATAGGTACTGTTTAATTTCACGCTGAACCTGATCTCGTTGGGGCAATGCATGGGAGTACTTTTGCCTTACTGTGGGCCTTATTTTAACTCTATATTGCGACAGCCATGGCTTCATTGGACGACGGGGATCACCTAAAAGGATAGTCTCATGGAATGTTAAGGGGCTACTCTCACCGAATAAGTATATGCAAGTTCTACATCACTTGAAACATTTGGGGGCAGATATGGCTCTTTTGCAGGAGAGGCACCTCTCTGCAAATGATCTTTCCCGCCTTTCGAAACTTTGGGTGGGCCAGGTATATGGTTCTCCTGCCATAGGTCGTAAAGCAGGGGTGGCTATACTACTCCACAAAAATTTATCTTACACTGTTCACTCTGTTAACTCTGATGCTGAGAGTCGCAAACTTACCGTCTATATTACTATCGCCTCTCATGACATCGCTATCTCCAATTTATATTCTTCCAATTCTCCAGGGAAGAATTTTTTAGCAAGATCTGATTTCATGGGCCTTACAAATTCCAGAATCCTACCATATCCTGGGTGGGGGATTTTAATTCAGTTATGCACCATCATTTTGATCGCACCAGAGACTAATCTGCACGACATACCAGACATCAGCCCCAGCCTCCCTGTTCCACTGTTTTAGTGCAGTCTATCAACACGCTTAAACTTCATGACACGTGGCGTCTCCAACATCCAACAGATCAAGTAGCGCACGTTCTACTTGTCCCCAAATGATTCCTTCTCTCGCATTGACTATTTTTCTGTTCACAGTCTCTCTTGCCCCTACTACGCAAAACGACCATATTTGATGGCCATATCCGACCACTGTCCAATTCTGCTACAGCTGTCTGGGTTGAAAGCTCTGAAAACCGCTACTCCCTGGCGCTTCCCCGCCTACCTAGCTAATACATGAGTACTTCAAATCTCATCTCTATGCTGCTAGGGCGGAAATTGTGGACACAAATGGAGCATATTTAACCAATCCTAATCAATTCTGGGAAACTGGAAAGGCGTTCCTCAGAGGGCACATTATTTCTTATACCACACAGTTTAAAAAAAACGATTCCAATTGCACTATCAACAATCTAGTGAATATCTTTGTCAAGCACATATCATGCTCTCCTTTGCACTCAAGCAAACAAGCTAAATTGGCAATCTGCTAAACGAGCCTTTGATTATTGGGCTGAGCACCAGGAAGCAGCCAAATCGGCCTATTCTCTACCCCTAACATTTTGTAGATATGGCAACAAGGCGGGTAAATTGCTGGCAAGGATTTGTGCGGGCACCCGTAATCCAATCTACATATCCGTGCTCCAATCTCCCACGGGCAATATTCTAACACTATCCTCTGATATTAAAGACCTCCTCACGTGTTATTACACTTCTCTGTATTCGGAGGACCAAATTGATTCTAGAGCCGCAGAAGACTTTTTAGCCTCTGTAAGCTGCCTAAGCTTTCCAGATCCCAGCTAGATGCCTTAAATGCTCCCATCACTTTGGATGACATTCGAGCCACTATCAAATATCTACCCTCGGCTAAGGCTCCCAGACCAGATGGCCTTAATGCGGAATTCTATAAATTTACTTCGGAATTCATCTCGGACACTCTGTATCATGTCTACAAGGCAATGTGGGAAGATGGCCCTCATCTCCCAACTGGCTCCAAGACACATATTATACTCCTAGCTAAGAAGGGGAATGACCCACTACTACTAGGATCTTACTGACCTCTTTCTCTAATTAATGCTGATGCCAAAATACTTTCAAAAATTGTGGCAACCAGGCTGGCCGTTACTGCATCATGCCCAATCTGGTTTCGTACTGAGTCGCTCGGCAAGACTTGATATCCGCAAAGTCTTGTTGGCCCTGGAATATGCTAAAACCCACCCTATGCTTGATCTAACACTTATATCCTTAGATGCTGAAAAGGTCTTCGACAACATTAGTTTTGCCTGGCACTTCATGGTCATGCAGAAGTTTGGTATTTTGGGTCCCATTTTGGACTTTCTACTCTTCCCCCACAGCTAGATTACTCACATCTGACTTTATGTCCACTGACATTCCCTTAACCAAGGGCACCAGACAAGGTTGCCCGCTCTCCCCCATTCTTTTTAACACTGCCCTAGAACCTTTGTGCAGACTACTTAATTCATCATCAGGGGTTAGTGGTGTCACGACTGGCGAACACTCTTCATTCAGCTCTTTTTTGCAGACGATATATTATTGTTTTCCTCATATCCACCCAAAGATTTTATACTACTCCAGAATCTGCGACCCCTCCACAAATATTCCGGCCTACGAATCAATTTTGATAAGACTGAAGTACTCCCTCTAAACCAGTGGTTGGCAAGGCGCGGCTCTTTACACACTTTAATGCGGCTCTTCTGTGTGCCGGGCGCCCGCTCCCCTCCCTCCTCTCGGGCGGCCGCCCCAAAAGTCAGGACTCTGCAGCTAGCCCAGCAATGGGCAAACTACGGCCTGGCGGACCTTTTAATCCGGCCCGCGGAGCGTGATCCAAAAAAAAAAAAACCAGCCAGGGCAGTGCGCTCAAATGCAATGATTGGCCAGTCTTGCTGCCACTCACATCCTGATAGCCAGTGATTGGCTGTCAGGATGTGTGTAGGCGGGGCAGCGTGACGAACGTGAGAGGAGCTAGGCTCCTCTCACAGTCAGCCCTGAAGATCGGAACGGCGTGGGAACACGGCGAGAAGAACGCGCGGAGCAAAGGTAAGTGAATTGACACAGGGGGGACTTGGCTTACTACTTGCTACTTACCTACTACTACTATATGGGGGATGAATTACTATATGGGGGATGAATTACTATAAAAACTTATTGAAACTAAAAACAGTGTACCATCCTATGTATTTTCATTTTAAAAAATGTGGCTCTCAAAATAAATTTCAATCGTGGTTTTGGCGAGATTTGGCTCAGTAGAAAAAAAAGGTTGCCCACCACTGCTCTAAACCATACTACCTCTTCTTTCTGGCTCACATCTTCACACTCAATTACTTATTTGGGCATTCATATAGGCAGAGAATCATCGTCTCTTTACTACCTTAATTACCCTCCTTTAACAAAACTGTAGAAGAACAGGAAGCTTGGACGACTCTTCCCCTTTCATTCTTTTGGAGATGCCATCTTTACAAAAGATCTAATTTGCGAGATTGCTCTATCCTCTACAAACACTCCCTATTCTCCTAAAGCATTCTGATGTTCAGAAGATCCATAAGGCCCTACAAACCTTCCTGCGGCAATGCAAAACAAATCGTGCATTGCACTAGAAAAACTGAGTCTTCCAAAGAGTGAGGGAGGAGCAGGCCTGCCAAATATTAGATTTTACAATTTGTCCCACCTCCTTCATCAGAGTCTCGATTGGATCACTATGTAATCCAGTTACTCCAATTACTCCTTAGAGGAGGCCCTGGTGTCTCAGCTACATCTTTCAGCCATTTTGCATTCTAATATTAAAACCTTACCTGGGCCTCTCCAATCTAATATTCTGATCAGAGACACCATATTGGCCTGGAGGAAAATGCGAGGCTCCTTGGCTTACCACTACAGATATCCCCCTATTTGCCTATTCTTGGAAACCCTATGTTCCCTCCAGCTAATGAGCATACAGCATTTATCCAATGGTCTCATAAAAAGGACTTACTAATGTTATATCTGTCTTTGATGATACCAAGCGGTCCTTTCAACCCTTCTCAGTCTTGGCTGCTCAATACTCCTTACCAGATTCCCACATCTTTTACCATCATCAGCTGGTGACATTCTGTGGATATGCTATTCCTCAAAACAGGACCCTTTCCACTGCTCCTTTATAGAGAGTCTACTGTGACAGGACCACTACACCATTTCAGATATCTTATTTTACAAGATGCCAATAAAAAATTTAAAGAAAAAAAAGGATTAGAGCGTTGTACTGTGTTAGCCATCAAGTGATCCAAAATATCTGTAGTTCAAGCAATAACCTTAATTAGCTAATTTACGTTATTAAAGATGCAAGTTTTTGGGAGGACATAGATGTGTTCTTCAGGTTTTATGCAATTCTCAAAAAAGGCTCTGAAAACCACATTTATACACCATTCATAGCCGGATCAATGAAATATATCAATTTAAAAAAAACACAACTATTTTTCTTGACACAATTAGTAACTACTGTAAAGGGTTAGTTTATAGCAAGAGATCAGAGTGCAAAAAACAAGTGTTTTGTTACTGCCTTTTATGATAGGAGAATGTTTTCGGATACATTCTTACATTGCTTGCACACCACTCCTGAAATAACATCAGGACATTGTTCAGTTGCATCTGCATGGCTACTGTGGTCTCCCAGTCAAAGTCCATCTCAACGTGTTGTCCTGTCACCCGACCTGTAGATTCCATGCCCTAAACAAGAAAAGGATGTCATATTAATAGGATCTCAACACCCCCTAACGCCTAGTACATACGATAAAATCATACGAAATATACCACTTTCTAAGCAATTGTACGATAATATGATTGCTAGTACACAGTACGAAATTATTAAAAGACAAGCACGAAAATTTTTCTCATACAACACCAGAGATTGTACAAATTTAGTTTAGTCAGTACAGTTTTGGCCTGAAAATACATCACTTCCGAATTTTTATTCTGTCGTAGAAGAATTTTCGAAACCTAAGTAGCGTCTTCATTTTCGATATGGAGACTAGCATGAAAAAAAAAACAATCGTTCGTCTGCTATTCTCATCGTGTGTATGGAGCTTTACAGGTAAAATCAAATATGTTTGTAAGGAAATAGATCTGGTTGGTGAAATGGTATAGATCTCCTTTAAACTCTTGAGAGTTAACTTTCATTAACCACTTGCCTACCAGGCACTTATACCCCCTTCCTTACCAGGCCAATTTTCAGCTTTCAGCACTGCCGCACTTTGACAATTGCGCGGTCATGCAACATTGTACCCATATGAAATTTTGATCATTTTTTTCTCACAAATAGAGCTTTCTTTTGGTGGTATTTAATCGCCACTGGGCGCTTTACTTTTTGCGCTATAAATAAAAAAAGTGCAAAAAATTTGAAGAAAAAAAAAAAGTTTATTTGTTTCTTTTATAAAAATTTTCAAACAGGTATTTTTTCTCCTTCACTGATGTGCGTTGATGAGGCAGCACTGATGGGCACTGATAGGCGGCACTGATGGGCACTGATAGGCAGCACTAAAGGGCACTGATAGGCAGTACTAATGAGGTGGCACGGATAGGCGGCACTGATAGACAGCACTAATTAGGGGTCACGGATAGGCGGCACTGATATGCAGCACTGATAGGCGGCACTGATAGTTGACACTGATGATGGGTACTGATAGACGGCACTGACTGGCATCACTGCTGGGCACTGACTGGCGGCACTGACTGGCACAACTCCTGGGCACTGACTGGTGGCACTGACTGGCAGCACTGCTGGGCTGCACTGGTGGGTGGCACTGGTGGGCAGCACTGGTGGGCACAGGTGGGTGGGCACAGGTGGGTGGCACTGCTGGGCACATGTAGGTGGCACTTCTGGGCACAGGTAGGTGGCACTGCAGAGTGGCACAGGTGGGTGCACTGCTGGGCACAGGTGGGGGCACTGCTGGGCACAGGTGGGCGGAGCTAGTGGGCGCACTGCTGGGCAGAACTTGCGGGTGTCACTGCTGGGCACCGATCATCAGGGCACTGATCATCAGTGCCCTGATGATCGGTGCCGATCTCCGCTCTGACAACTGCCGGTTCTCGGCAGTACTTTCCTCACGATCTGACAGCGCGTGAGGAAAGTGCAGCCGAGAACCGGCACTTGCATTTCCCTCTGATCAGCGTGTCATTGGACACCGCTGATCACGTGGTAAAAGGCCGCTGTGATTGGCCGTTTACCACATCACGTGATCAGCTGTGTCCATAGGACACAGCGATCATGGAGATCGCCGGGTGCGCGCCCCCTGGGGGGCGCAGGAGAGCGCGTTCTGGGAGGACGTCATATGACGTCCACCCAGAACTGGCCGGCCGCGGTGATGCCGTCATTCGGCTATGCGCGGTCGGCAAGAGGTTAAATTTTTAGGCCTTTTAACTTTGTTACAGCCATAGCAAACGCCCCCCTAATGAGAAATCCTTTCCCAATAAGATACCATCAACCATCAAGTCAACACTGCCAGATATCTTCTAAAAATGTCTGTCAGCACAATAAAACTATCACAGTCCAAAACTGTTTAAATTGTAATATACTGCCCAACCTAGCCATCATATTTGCTTTTTTTCAGCAATGCTAACATACTGTAATCATTAGTAGATTGTACTGTACCTGAACAAAACATATAGAGTATTAACAATATAAATATAACTTTATTTGCCTTTTATAATGAGCATATATTATTGGGAATTATCACCTCGATGTATGTCCTAGTGGGCACAATCACAAAAAAATAGTATGATAGAGTTACCTGCATACATGTTAACACATGAAGCAAAGATTTAAACCCATCCACAAACTTCTCTTGCAGTTTCTCTGACCAATATGTGGGTTTACTTATCAGGATATATCTAAAATGGGGGGGAAAAAAAAAAAAAAAAAAAAATAATAAAAAAAAAGGAGGTTGGAGCATAAAAAATGCATAAAATAAAAACAGACAATAAAAAGACATACTAGTTTTAAAAAGAAATATGGGGGCTGCCACTGTTAAAGTCTACAAAAATAAAAAAAGGAGGAAAGTCAGAAGATCTTATATGCATACTTGTACCTGGTCAGAGGCAGAATACTGAAAGTGGAATTAAACCAAACATTTATTATATTGCAGCATATCAATTCTGTGATGTGATGGCTGCATTATTTATCTTTTTCAGACTTGCTTTCTTCTATTTTCACCAGGTGATCCATTCAGCAAGTCTGTTGTTCAAAAAGAACCACCTCTCTTGCAGATATATCAGTTACGGGGATGAGACAAACCCTTTTACCACCAACAGGGCTGCCCACAATGATCAGCCTTTATTCGCGTAAAAAGTTTATGCGAAAAAAAAAAAAAAAAAACGGTTTACAGCTAATAATTTATAACCAGTTACAGCAGTTTGGCTTCAAATTGTTAGCGTATTTAAATCTGCCAGTATATTTAACACTACTGTCCCTCCAGACTGATAATTAAAGTGTCCAAATGTGCCGCTATGGGCCTTCATCCAGAGTGGACACACTCTAATACAGGAGTTGTGATCGTTACTGGCCAGATCACCAGCTGGAAACAGAGGGGGGGGAATAAAACTAATGGAGCCACCAATTCTAATGATTGGTAAGCGCAATATAATACATTTTTGGTTTTAGGTTTGATAACGCTTGAAGTAAAAGGGTCAATATGGCAGCCATTTTCCACTGCTGAATCCTGTGGCCAGGAGCAGCTAGTCTGAAGCAAAGAAACATGCAAACACAAGACCAAGCCATACTGCTGCAAATAGGATTCCTCTTGTACTAAAGTACCATATCTGCATCTTTAAAATAATCTTCAGGCAGAGCCTACAATTATGCTTCTGGTCCACATAAGCTATCTGTATTGGAATGCCTCTACCTACCCCAGTCAATTAACTAAAAATGGGCAATTTGATGCACAGATTCAGAGTACGTGAATACAGTAACCTATCCCACTAACGAAAAGGCAAATAAATGAAAGATTAAAAAAAAAAAAAAAAAAAAAAAATGCAAATACCATGTAACGGCAGAAATTCTGAATACCCAGAAAAAACGCACAGGAAACAAAACGGACTCTACCGTAAAAAGAAATATGTTACAGATCGTCAGCAATATGATGCGGTCTCTAGTAGCCCTGCCAACCTAGGTCATTGCCTCTGTTGGTTTTTCAGAAGTCCACCATGGCTGCAGGGACATGTACAAATGCATGATGTTTTGTGATAGTGTAGCTATACTCTAAAAAGGGTGCCGTGGCTGAAAAAAAGATGAGAAATGCTGCTTTAAAGTATGCAAAATCTGACTGACCCCTCAGTCTAAAAATGAAAATATTTTTACAAAAATAAGGGCCTCACCCTCACATCCTCGGACCAGTGAATGGGGGGGTCTTTGTAGGGTGACGAAATCTGGAAGCCCCCTTTTAAAATAATGGGCCATATGAACTATGCTCCATATATGGAGGCAATGTCCCACGGTAACCAATATTCTGGATTGGACTATTCAATCTAATTCGCTAAGTAACAGGAATTGACACCTTTAGATCACTTGAAATTGCTTTACTCCAGAAGCTGAATAGTGACATTCCTATATAATATAACAACAACACACACACACACCAAAAGATTGGTCTCTTATATGATTTTAGTGGTTAGAATTGCAATTGCAAGAAGTCAGAACCAACCTGATGGTGCAATTTGAGTATGTAAAGCAAAAATTGAATTGGATTATGATTAACCACTTGCTCTCTGGAAAATGTACCCCCCATTATGACCAGGCCATTTTTTGCTATTCAGCACTGTGTCATTTCAACTGGCAATTGCAATGCAGTCATGCAATGCTGTACCCAAACAAAACTTATGTCCTTTTTTCACACAAATAGAGCTTTCTTTTGGTGGTATTTGATCACCACTGGGTTTTTGTTATATTTTTGTGATATAAATGAAAAAAAAAAAAAAGACCAAACATTTTGAAAAAAACAAAACAAAACTATTTTTAACTTATAAAAAAAATATATAGCAAACTCAAAGTTAGTCATAAATTTAGGACAAAATGTATTCTGCTACATGTCTTTGGTAAAAAAAAAATCCCAATACGTGTATGTTAAATTGGATTGTGTGAAAGTTATAGAGTCTACAAACTGTGGTATACAGTTGCAAGAAAAAGTATGTGAACCCCTTGGGATTACATGGAGTTTTGCATGAATTGGGCATAAAATGTGCTCTGAATGTCATCTAAGTCACAACAATAGAAGAACACAGTCTGCTGAACATAATACTACACAAACATTAGATGTTGCCATGGTTTAATTGCACATAACATGTAAACATTCAGAGTGCAGGGAGGAAAAAGTATGTGAGGCCCTAGCTTAATGACTTCTCCCAGAGCTAATTGGAGCCAGGAGTGAGCCAACCTTGACTCCAATCAGTGCGATGATATTGGATGTGTTGCTGACAGCTGTCCTGCCCTTAAAAAACACACACCTGTTTTGGGTTTACTGGTTTCAAGAAGCACTGTCTGATGTGAACCATGCCTCGCAGAAAAGAGCTCTCAGAAGACCTACGATCAAGAATTGTTGACTTGCATGAAGCTGGAAAGGGTTACAAAAAAAATCTCCAAAAGCCTTGATGTTTATGTGTCCACGGTAAGACAGACTGTCTACAAATGGAGAAAGTTTAGCACTGTTGCTGCTCTCCCTAGGCGTGGTCGTCCTGTAAAAATGACTGCAAGAACACAGCGCAGAATGCTGCATGAGGTAAAGAAGAATCCCAGAGTGTCAGCTAAAGACCTACAGAAATCTCTGGCACATGCTAACATTTTTGTTGACACATCTACAATAAGGAAAACATTAAACAAGAATGGAGTACATGGGAGGACACCACGGAGGAAGCCATTGCTGTCCAAAAAGAATATTGCAGCACGTTTGAAGTTTGCAAAAGAGCACCTGGATGTTCCACAGCACTACTGGCAAATATACTGTGGACAGATGAAACCAAGATTGAGTTGTTTGGGAAGAACACACAACACTATGTGTGGAGAAAAAAAGGCACAGCACACCAACATCAAAACCTCATCCCCACTGTAAAACATAGCGGAGGGAGCAGCATGGTTTTGGGGCTGCTTTGCTGCCTCGGGGCCTGGACGGATTGTTGTCATTGATGGAAAAAATGAATTCCAGAGTTTATCAAGACATAAAACGTACGACCATCTGTCCGCCAACTGAAGCTCCGCAGAGGATGGGTGATGCAACAGGACAATGACCCAAAGCATACAAGTAATTCAACAAAACAATGGCTGCAACAGCACAGAATACGCCTTCTGGAGTGGCCCAGTCAGAGTCCTGACCTCAACCCCGATTGAAATGCTGTGGCATGACCTTAAGAGAGCGATTCACACCAGACATCCCAAGAATATTGCTACACTGAAACAGTTTTGTGAAGAGGAGTGGTCCAAAATTACTCCAGATCGTTGTGCAGGTCTGATCTGCAACTACAGGAAATGTTTGGTTGAGGTTATTGCTGCCAAAGGAGGGTCAACCAGTTATTAAGTCCAAAGGTTCACATACTTTTTCCTCCCTGCACTGTGAATGTTTACATGTTATGTGCAATTAAAGCATGGCAACATCTAATGTTTGTGTAGTATTATGTTCAGCAGACTGTGTTCTTCTATTGTTGTGACTTAGATGACGTTCAGAGCACATTTTATGCCCAATTCATGCAAAACTCCATGTAATCCCAAGGGGTTCACATACTTTTTCTTGCAACTGTATACAGTTAGGTCCATATATATTTGGACACGGGCACATTTTTTTTTTTTTTTTTTCAGGTATTTACCAAAACATATTGAAGCTATAGTTATATAATAGATATGGGCTGAAGGTGCACACTCTCGGGTTTAATTTGAGGGTATGTACATCCAAATTGGAGGAAGGGTTTAGTAATTACAGCTATTAAGAGTAGCCATCCCCCCCTTTTTTCAAGGGACAAAAAGTAACTGGACAACTGAATCCAAAGCTGTTTCATGGCCAGGTGTGGGCACTCCATTATTTCTTCATCAATTAAGCAGGTAAAAAAGGTCTGGAGTTGATTCTAAGGGGTTTATTTACTAAAGCTGGAGAGTCCAAAATCAGACTCCCTTCTGCATAGAAACCAATCAGCTTCCAGGTTTCATTGCCAAAGCTTCATTGAACAAGCTGAGGTTAGAAGCTGATTGGTTTCTATGCAGAAGGGAGTCTGATTTTGGACTCTCCAGCTTTAGTAAATAAACCCCTAAGTGTTTTTTTTGCATTTTGAATCTATTGCTGTGAATCTACATCATGAGTTCAAAGGAGCTATCTATGCAAGTGAAACAGGCCATTGTAAGGCTTCAAAAACTAAACAAATCCATCAGAGAAATAGAAGCAACATTAAGAGTGGCCAAATGAACATTTTGGTACATTCCAATGAACGCACTGGTTAGCTCAGCAACATAAAAAGGCATGGGCGTCCACGGAAAACAACAGTGGTGGATGATCGCAGGATCCTCTCTATGGTAAAGAGAAAAATATTCACAACATCCAGACAAGTGAAGGACACTCTCCAGGAGGCGGGCGTATCATTGTCAAAGTTTACAGTCAAGAGGAGATTTCATGAGAGCAAATACAAAGGGTTCACCACAAGGTACAAACCATTCATAAGCCTGAAGAACAGAAAAACCAGATTAGATTTTGCCAAAAAAATCTAAAAAAGCCAGACCAATTCTGGAAAAGCAATCTTTTGATGGATGAAACTAAGATTAATCTGTAGCAGAATGACGGGAAGAAAAATGTGTGGAGAAGGCTTGGAACAGCTCATGATACAAAGCACAAAACGTCTTCTGTAAAAGATGGTGCAGGCAG